TATGGGACAGGAAACGCAGCTGGCCAGCGGGGCGCCATCCAGAGTTTTTCTATGTGTGAGTCTTTCTAGCGATCTATGCAGCAGTCCACACTGCTGCCCAGGATCTGTTCTCTGGCCCCCAGCAAGGGCTCAGATTGGAGGATTGACACCCACATTGGGCAGATGTGGGAGCTGCCCTGCACAGAAGCCTCATGGCCCCAGTGGGCATTTCTTATAATATTGCCAAAGGCATAGCTTCCAGGATCTCCACAGGGAACATGCCCAATTCCAAGAAGTGCTGTCCTCAGGAAAACCCAAATCTATGGCTTCACCATCTTATATTAAGTTCATAAACAATTCCTTCCAGTTTAGATGCAGTTTATGCGCCAGGGGCCCCTTTTTACCATTAACAATGTTGTCTGATAATCCTTATTGATTTATATCTTTAGCAGGGGAACAGAGATAGAAAGTTAAGGGAAGCAAAAGGAGAACAAGTTTTGTTAACTTTGCCCACAGTAGTATGTCAGCGAGAAGGGTGTGTGAGAGCTTTCTTCTTTATGGCTGTGCACGTGAGGTCCTTGAGCTATGACACGTGATTTGGCGGTGGCACTGTAACTATTTACCATATTGATGCTTTCTTCCTAGGGTTGACCGCGGTGGGTGGGTTGGCGCTGATGGGAGGACATTTGTATCCGTCCTCAACTCCTGAGGGCCTTGCTGCTCTTGCCACATTCATATCCTCAGTCAACATTGCAGGTACGATGCCAGTAAAAGAATCCAGAGCACTAGAATTAATAGAGACATGAAAAGCAAATATGTCAATGTAAAGTAGACATTCTGATTTTTAGACTTTGCGCCTTTAAGAAATGTTTCACTCAGACCATAAATGCTCTCTGTGAAGGAAAATTAGTTATTTTGCCTGTGTGTCATTTTTAGAAACTCTTTTGATAAAAACCACTCCCCAGTGCTCTAAAACAAACAAACAAACTGCTATCTTGCTACAAGTTAACTGGAAAGTTATTGAATGCATAGTTTGAAATGAAGTTGACTTAAAGCTATCACCATAACATCACTAAATGAGTATAATTTTAGATGAAATTTTAGCCTTTTGCCTTACCCTGACCTGTGTTTGTTTCTAAAAACTGGAAGCTTAGCACATTACTTGTGCACAAAGCTCATTTGATGATATTTTGTAGCTAAAAATTCTTTAATGGGTCCAAGAAACCTGGTGCCTGTTAATATGGATTTTTTTTCTTTTATCATTTATTATAGGGTTTAACAAACAGAATAACCTATTAGAAAATAAATACTGGCCTTTGGTCATTTATATTCCCAAGCTGTTGGAATGACTGTTTACTTTCACTTATACAGAAATAGTTGGCTCTACCCTGATAGCAAGTTTAGATTTTTTTTCCCCCTTCAGTGGAACTGGCTTGAATAATAGAATAATTTTTAATTTTGAGGTTCTAAAATGTTACTTAAGATATTTATCCATAGATGATAAAGGTGTGCTTAAAATAGAAAACATTGCAGCACTTTAAAAAATCATGTTGCTCAAAGAGATAATAACCTCTTTCTGTTTTATATCTGCTTTGATAAGGTGGCTTTCTGGTGACTCAGAGAATGCTGGACATGTTCAAGCGTCCCACTGATCCCCCAGAATACAACCATCTGTATCTGCTCCCTGCTGGTACCTTTGTTGGAGGATATTTAGCTGCCCTCTACAGTGGTTATAACATTGAACAAGTAAGAAGCTCTTTTGAAAGTTTTTATTTTTTGCCACTGGGTTTTCTTCACGATTGTATTTAACATTATCATTACCAATATTTAAATTCTATCAAGCAAATACAACAATAAGTCTAGAAACATGTTGGTCAAATAAAGCATTCTCACCTCCTAAGAATCGGGACCCTAGATTGTAGAGACAGATTTACCCACTAACTGAATGTGCAAATGTGGGTTCACCTATTTTTCCCTAAGTTTTTCCACATGTAAAAAGGCTATTAGTATCCTCTTCATATACCTGGCTGGATTGTTGTAGGAACACAATAAAATAATCAGAAAATGTCTATTATTAAATACTAGTAGTCCTTTTCTTATTTTTTTCCCCCCTTAAAATCCAGTGCATCATCTCTTGTTATTAGGAAATGTTGTGCCAATTCATTTAAAAAAGATAGTTTAAAAATGAATACCGTATAGAAAAACAAATGATCAAGTTGAACTTCTGCAAGTTCCATGTCTAAATATAATAGAGACTCAGCTTTGAACTCGGTATTTTCCATTTCTTTTCGATGACTAGCACTATCATTGCAACCTTTATCATTACAGCAGAAAAATCGTGTCTCTCTTGGTTTCTCCTGTTTGCAACACGTAGCATTTGTGGCACGAACAGTCTTTTTAGAGAAGGATTGGAGCAGTGAGTCAGAGAGGCCTAGCTGACCCAGATTGGCTTTTACTGATCATTTGACCTTGGAAAGACTGGGGGGCCTCTTTGGGCTTCGGTTTTTTTTCTTTTGTAGAATGAGGGTGATGATTCTTTCCTCCCGTGAATCTCATGGGACTGGTTACAACATAAGTGAAGTATATGGCACGGCCCCTGACACGGACAAATCAGCAGTTGGCTCTGCTTTACAGCATTTGGTTAGGTCTAGATCCCACAATAACTCAGTTTAAATTTGAGTACTTTTGTATGCATTTGGGCATGCTATCAAATCCAGAAGAACCTGATTTTTATAAATGGTATAATTGCAAGTACAATTTAAAGTATTTAATATCTGTAATAGATAGGAAAGCATATTGAGATATTAAAAGAGCTCATATTGATCCCTCTATTGTCCAAATTTAACATTGTCCTCAGAGAATCATGTTTCCTCAAGAGAGGTCCTCCTTATGCAAATAGACTGAAAATTTTGATAGCCTGCCTCTCTCTCTCTCTCTCTCTCTCTCTCTCTCTCTCTCTCTCTCTCTCTCTCTCTTTCTCAAGATCATGTACCTGGGCGCAGGTCTGTGCTGTGTTGGTGCCCTGGCCGGCCTTTCCACCCAGGGAACAGCTCGTCTTGGCAATGCATTGGGCATGATTGGAGTGTCTGGAGGCCTGGCAGCCACCCTTGGAGGCCTAAACCCGAGCCCAGAATTGTTAGCTCAGATGTCTGGAGCAATGGCTTTGGGCGGTACCGTTGGTAAGCACTTGTGGGTTTCTGCCTTCATGAGAACCCATGTCCATTTTGTGTGTGTGTGTGTGTGTGTGTGTGTGNCTCTCTCCAGTTGGTTAACAGGCCATGTACTGGAGCCCTGGAAATTTTATATGTGGGTGGGAAAATATAAATTGAAACTACACTTTTATTGAATGACTTAAGGTAAAATTAATGTAAATTCCTAGATGTTCCAGCTGTGCCACTTAGAAAGAAATAGTTCATATCAAGGAAAAAAATACCTTATTCAGGGAAGTTCAATTCCTGCTCCCTGGTCACCCATTATTATTCTGCTTTTACTGACCACTAGGTAACCCTTTCTTGTGTTGCAGAACAGCCGTCCACGTGTTTGCTATTAGGAAAGGCGATAATTAAAGATGTATGTTCCCAGCTGACTGTTTGTATTCTGCACATTCTTAATTTAATTTTTTTTTTCCCCTTTTCTTTGTAAAATCCTGTTTGATGACCTGGTGTTGAGGCTGGAGCTGACTGCTCTGGCCAGCAGTCCAGTCCAAATTCAGGAGCAATTGCAAAACTTCTGTTCTGGGTGGGTGGAAGCCATATGTTTTGGGGAGGTGCTGGAGTGAATGAAATCCTTCCTACTCTTTTCAAATCCCTCTTCCTCAGCCAAATCTGAGACTGACATAAAATTGGCTTCACAAAAGTCCTGTCTTACAGAGGTGTCTTGCCCGAGTAGAAATGGCTTTGGTAGCTCCTCCATAGGGCTGTAATTCTGGAATAAAAACACTTATATAAACACATGTGGCATTGTCAATGACAAAACAGGGAAGAGAACAAGCTACACAAAGGAAAACGTGCACATTGTTATTAAGGTGACTCGTAAATTTTACTAGATCTTT